GGGAAGGCAGGGCAGTGATGATAGTAAAAAGGCAGGGACAGTGATGATATTACGAAAGGCAGGGACAGTGATGATAGTATGGAAGGCAGGGTCAGTGATATAGTAGGGAAGGCAGTTGATGATAGAAAGGAAGGCAGGGTCAGTGATGATAGTAGGGAAGGCAGGGTCAGTGATGATAGTAGGGAAGGCAGGGTCAGTGATGATAGTAGGGAAGGCAGGGTCAGTGATGATAGTAGGGAAGGCAGGGTCAAGGATGATAGTGGGGAAAGGGCAGGGTCAGTGATGATAGTAGGAAGGCAGGGTCAGTGATGATACAAACAAAGGCAGGTCAGTGATGATAGTAGGGAAGCAGGGTCAGTGATGATACAGGAAAGGCAGGGTCATGATGATATTAGGGAAGGCAGTGAAAGTGATGATAGTAAGGAAGGCAGGGCCAGTGATGATGGTAGGGAAGGCAGGGACAGTGATGACAGTAGGGAAGGCAGGGACAGTGATGATAGTAGGGTAAGCAGGGTCAGTGATGATAGTAGGGAAGGCAGGGTCAGAGATGATAGAAGGGAAGCCAGGGTCAGTGATGATAGTAGGGAAGGCAGTGTCAGTGATGATAGTAGGGAAGGCAGTGTCAGTGATGATAGTAGGGGAGCCAGGGTCAGTGTTGATAGTCGGGAAGGCAGTGACAGTGATGATAGTAGAAGGCAGGGTCGTGATGATAGTAGGGAAGGCGGGGAAACAGTGATGATATGGGGAAGGCAGGGTCAGTAATGATAGTAGGGAAGGCAGGGTCTGTAAATGATATGTGGGAAGGGGCAGGTCAGTGATGATAGTAGGAAGGCGGGGTCAGTAATGAGAAGGGAAGCGGGGACAGGGGGATGATAGTAGGAAGGCAGGGCAGTGAGATATTAGAAGGCAGGGTCGGGTGAGATATAGGGAAGCAGGGTCAGTGAGAAGAGTTAGACAGGGTCAGTGATGATAGTAGGGAAGGCAGGGTCAGTGATGATAGTAGGGAAGGCAGGGTCAGTGATGATAGAAGGGAAGGCAGGGTCAGTGATGATAGTAGGGAAGGCAGGGTCAGTGATGATAGTAGGGAAGGCAGGTCTGATGAATATAGGAAGCAGGGACAGTGAGGATTTTAACGAAAGGCAGGGTCAGTGATGATGGTGGGGAAAGGGCAGGTCAGTGATGATAGTAGGGAAGGCAGGCATGATGATAGTATGGAAGGCAGGGTCGGGAGACGGATAGAAGGAAGCCATGGTCAGTGATGATAGTAGGGAAGCAGGTCAGTGATGATATTTAGGAAAGAAGGGTCAGAGATGATAGAAGGGAAGCCAGGGTCAGTGATGATAGTAGGGAAGGCAGTGTCAGTGATGATAGTAGGGAAGGTAGGGTCAGTGATGATAGTAGGGAAGGCAGGGAAAGTGATGATAGTAGGGAAGGCAGGAACAGTGACGATAGTAGGGAAGGCAGTGTCAGTGATGATAGTAGGGAAGGTAGGGTCAGTGATGATAGTAGGGAAGGCAGGGAAAGTGATGATAGTAGGGAAGCCAGGGTCAGTGATGATAGTAGGGAAGGCAGTGTCAGTGATGATAGTAGGGAAGGTAGGGTCAGTGATGATAGTATGGAAGGCAGGGTCAGTGATGATAGTAGGGAAGGCAGGGACAGTGATGATATTACGAAAGGCAGGGACAGTGATGATTGTATGGAAGGGAAAGGGTCAGGATGATAGTAGGAAGCAGGGTCATGATGATAGTATGGAAGCGGGGTCAGTGATGATAGTAGGGAAGGCAGGGTCATGGATAGTAGGAAGGCAGGTCATGATGAAAAGTAAGAAAGGCGGGGCCCAGTGATGAAAGTAGGGAAGGCAGGGTCAGTAAATGATACAAGGAAAAGGGCAGGGCAGTGGTGATATTAGGAAGGCAGGATCAGTGATGATAGAAAGGGAAGGCAGGTCAGTGATGATGTAGGGAAGGCAGGGACAAGTGATGACAGTAGGGAAGGCAGGGACAGGGGATGATGTAGGGTAAGCAGGGTCAGTAAATGATAGTAGGGAAGGCAGGGTCGAGATGATAGAAGGAAGCCAGGCAGTATGATATAGGGAAGGCAGTGTCAGTGATGATAGTAGGGAAGGCAGGTCAGTGATGATATAGGGAAGGCGGGGTCAGTGATGATAGAAAGGGAAGGCAGGGAAAGTGATGATTGTAGGGAAAGGGCAGGCCAGTGAGATAAAGGGAAGGCATGTCAGCGAGAAGTAGGGAAGGCAGGTCGGGTGATGATACTGGGAAAGGCAGGGTCAGTGATGAATTAGGAAAGGCAGGATCAGTGATGATAGTAGGGAAGGCAGGGTCAGTGATGATGGTAAGGGAATGCATGGCCAGTGATGAAAAAGGGAAAGGGCATGGACAGGGACGATAGTAGGGAAGGCACGTATGATGATAGTAGGGAAGCAAGTCATGATGAAAATTTACGAAGGCAGGGTCAGTGACGATACAAACTAAGGCAGGTCAGTGATGATAGTAAGGAAGGCAGGGGTCAGTGATGATATAGGAAGGCAGGGACAGTGTGATATAGGGGAGGGTCAGTGATGGTATAGATAAGGCATGGTCAGTGATGCAGAAGAAGGCAGGTCAGTGATGATAGTAGGGAAGGCCCAGGCCCAGTGATGACAGTAGAGAAGGCAGAGTCAGTGATAAATAGTAGGGAAGGCAGTGGTCAGTGATGAAGAATGGAAGGCCGGGGCAGTGATGATAGTAGGGAAGGCCGCGTCAGGATGATAGTAGGGGAAGGCAGGGTCAGTGATTATGTAGGGAGGTAGGTAGTGAGATAGGAAGGCAGTTCAGTGATGAAGTAAGGGAGGCCGGGGCAGTGATGATAGTGGGGAAGGTAGGGTCAGTTATGATAGTAGGGAAGGGAGGGTCAGTGATGATAGTAGGGAAGGCAGGGTCAGTGATAAATAGTGGGGAATGTAGGTCAGTGTTGATAGTAGGGAAGGCAGGGACAGTGATGATAGTAGGGAAGGCAGGATCAGTGATGATAGTAGGGAAGGCAGGGACAGTGATGATAGTAGGGAAGGTAAGGTCAGTGATGATAGTAGGGAAGGCAGGGTCAGTGATGATAGTAGGGAGCGGGGTCATGATGATAAAAGGGAAGGCAGGTCAGTGATGGTAGTAGGGAAGGCGGGGTCAGTGAGATGTAAGGTATTCAGTGCCCAGTGATGATAGTAGGGAAGGCAGTGTCAGGGGATAAACGTAGGAAGGCAGGGTCAGTGATGATAGTAGGGAAGGCAGGGCCAGTGATATGTAGGGAAGGCAGGGAAGATGATAGTGGGAGGCAGGACAGTGGATAGTAGGAAGGCAGGGACAGTGATGATAGTAGGGAAGGCAGGGTGAGTGATGATAGAGGAAAGGCAGGGACAGTGATGATAGTAGGGAAGGCAGTGTCAGTGATGATGGTAGGGACGGCAGTGTCAGTGATGATAGTAGGGAAGGCAGTGTCAGTGATGATAGTAGGGAAGGCAGGGTCAGTGATGATAGTAGGGAAGGCAGGGTCAGTGATGATAGAAGGGAAGGCAGGGACAGTGATGAAAGTAAGGAAGGGAAGGGTTAGTGATGATAGTATGGAATGCATAGACAGTGATGATAGTAGGGAAGGCAGGGACAGTGATGATAATAGGGAAGGCGGGGTCAATGATTATAGTAGGGAAGGCAGGATCAGTGATGATAGTAGGGAAGGCATGGTCAGTGATGATAGTAGGGAAGGCAGGGTCAGTGATGATAGTAGATAAGGCAGGGACAGTGATGATAGAAGGGAAGGCAGTGTCAGTGATGATAGTAGGGAAGGCAGGGACAGTGATGAAAGTAGGGAAGGCAGTGTCAGTGATGATAGTAGGGAAGGCAGGGATTGTGATGATAGTAGGGAAGGCAGGGACAGTGATGATAGTAGGGAAGGCATGGTCAATGATGATAGTAAGGAAGGCAGTGTCAGTGATGATAGTAGGAAAGGCAGGGTCAGTGGTGATAGTAGGGAAGGCAGTGTCAGTGATGATAGTAGGGAAGGCAGTGTCAGTGATGATAGTAGGGAAGGCAGTGTCAGTGATGATAGTAGGGAAGGCAGGGTGAGTGATGATAGTAAGGAATGCAGTGTCAGTGATGATAGTAGGGAAGGCAGCGTCAGTGATGATATTAGAGAATACAGGGGCGTTGATGATAGTAGGGAAGGCAGGAACAGTGATGATAGTAGAGAAGGCAGGGCCAGTGATGGTTGTAGAGATGGCAGGGTCAGTGATGGTTGTAGGGAAGGCAGTGTCAGTGAGGTTGTAGGGAAGGCAGGGTCAGTAATGGTTTTAGGGAAGGCAGCGTCATTGATGGTTGTAGGGAAGGCAGCGTCAGTGATGGTTGTAGGGAAGGCAGGGTCAGTGATGGTTGTCGGGAAGGCAGGGTCAGTGATGGTTGTAGGGAAGGCAGGGTCAGTGATGGTTTTAGGGAAGGCAGCGTCAGTGATGGTTGTAGGGAAGGCAGGGTCAGTGATGGTTGTAGGAAAGGCAGGGTCAGTGATGGCTGTAGGAAAGGCAGGGAAAGTGATGACCCTGCCATCTGACAACTGTTTACATATTCGTCTGTTCCCTCTTGATATCCGAGTGTTCGCGGTTCGATCCCGGTACAAGTGGAAACTTTGGGCATGTTTCTTTACATTTTCTGCCTTTCTTCACTTAGCGTAAGCAGGTGCTTTGATGTTACTCAGCTGTTGTAGGTGGCATCCAGCGGGTGTGGAATTAGCTAGACGGGACTGGGCTTTGCAATGATCTGAGGTAGGATAACACCTCTAAGCCTTGGAACTGCTCTGCGTGAAGAGAAAACAACGTAATGCAGTTTTTCACAGTAAACCCAGTCTGACCAGCCACACTTTTTACACATGTGCAATGAATATAAAGTCTTAACAATATGTAACAAAAGCAGATAAATTATTAAACAAGGGTAATGTTTAGAAAGAATTAACAGAGGTAACACCAGATATCATAACAATCAGAGATAAGCTTATTGCGGGCACCGCCGTACTGGTCAGAGGCATTGTAGGGCAGCTCCGGTTGGGGACGTGAGGCCATGGCTTTAATAATAATAATAAATAAAAAAATAAAATAATAATAAAAATAAAATAATAATAATAATAATAATAATAAAAATAATAATAATAATAATAATATCTTTACTACATGTACATGTACAAGGTATACAGACCATAGCTGACATTAGTGACATACTACTACATTGAAAGCCACTTGTGGAGAAATTTTCTCCAGGAGGGGGGTATAAAGCCCCCTTCAGCCCTTCAGCCCCTTTTCAGCCCTGGGGGGCCCCCAGCCCTCTCAGAAGGGGCAAGCACTTGTTTACTGCTACAGTGAGTAATTGATTCACAGATGCCGTACAGTATGCGACGTGGTCAAGTGACCGTTGCTCCTTGCAGTCCAGTTTTTGCCGAGTGTATTTAATTAAGAGACAGTACATCTCCTACTTTGGCAGGACAATTAAGGAAAATCCTGCTCCCACTTTATTACCATAGTAAAGATATGACATTGTTGTCTATCCCTTAAGACAGCAAGAATCAAACATTCTGCTTTGCTTCATCGGGGAAGTGGCAAGGAAGCAAAAGTACCATGTCACTTTTTCTTTTGCTAGGGAGTGACGGCAGGGGGCGTTTGGGCATCTTCAGATTACTTTTGACTCTACTGAAGTGACACTGACGCCTGGATAACCAACAAAGAACAACGATCTGTGCGTTAGTGTGTACAAAGTGTCCTCACAAAACACAATAAACACTTGGAGAGAAGTGTGATCAGTTTTCCCCTTGGTGATAAGATTGGTGAACAATAAAGACAAATCTTGTGGAACATAGTGTACCAGTGTGCTTTTTCCTATACAATGGAAGACGTGGACATCCAAGGACACTTCACTTCTATCAAGAAACCGATACCTGTCGAAGGTGTGAAGAAAAACCATATTTTCACGCTACAAAGCAAGGTAATGTTACGAATTTCTTGTAGAAACGGGGACTGCGCATTACTTGAGTCGCAAGGAGTTTTGAATCAACCTATAGTGGGCAGTAAGATGTGGACTTTTGAGTCCAAACAAGTATGTATTTGTCAGCCACCCAGTGAATGAAATATGCTGACATAACACCCCTGGGGGTAATTTATAATCTTACAAATTATAAATCTTACACCCCCGTTGAAAGATGGTTTCGACAGCTTCTAGACCTCGTCTGCAGGGGCGGTTGTGTAGACGATTTGCTGTCTTTTATCAGCTAAGTGTTTCACTATATTTATATTTATAAATTAAGCTTAGCTGGTAAAGGCCATTACTCAACATAATTGGTCGTGCTCGAAACCGGAAAAAGGGCCACACTGTGGTCCAGATAGTTTGTACTAACAGTTTACAAAAAAACCTACGAGCCAAGGTCCTTCGAAAAACGCGAAAAACTAGTGTTTTACAATTTAATCATAAAATGAGTCACTCCAGACTCAATCACAGAGAATGGGCAGCCAAAAGAAAACGGGCGCTCACCCAACGTTCACCCAAAGAAAACGGGAGCTGGTGACTCACCCAACAAGAAAACGGGGGATGGCACACTGCATCCACTGCTCCAATCTCGAAAATCGCTGAGAAACCCAAGTGATGTTCAGTTTGTCTGAGTGTATATACACAA